TTCATTTTACCAAAAAGCTATTAACTTGTTGACCAGAGAGATCTACCTGACTTGTGCCACTTACGTTTTTCCTTACATTTAGATGAATAAGCCGTTATAGGAAAGCTTTGGATCATTGAAAAAAAAATGTCTGCACCATTGAAAAGAGATCCATTTGTAACAGAAAAGAGCAAGCAAAGCAGCATTAAGCGCTGTTGCTGTTTGCTGCTATCTTGTTATCCAGGAGCAACTATACAATAAGAAGATATTGGAGGCAATAACATAAATACCCTCTAGGTTGGTTTTTGGTTTTGTTTTTTTTTTTTTTAATTACTGCTAGTATTCTCCCTCTCACTTGGGACAGCTCTCAACCAGTTACCTCTGAAGGAAGAAATCACAAAAGACGGGTCAGCTAATACAGAAACCTAGGGATGAGTGTCAGCAGCTACAGATTTCATGGGCCACATCCAAGCCATCCCAGTGGTCCTAACTGAGCACCTGTTGAAGGGTGGGAGAAGAGAAACCAGCCCTAAAGAGCCCTGTGGCACAGGGTCCTCTGTGCAGGACAGCAGCCACTCAACACCGACAGCAGCCACTCAACACCAACTTCTGGGATTTGTCTGAAAGTACTATCCTATGGTCAAATAGTATAAATTTCCATACTGAGATATTTTTACCTTACTGGTTTTACTTAAAGAATTTATTTTCTAAAGAAAACCATTGCAGATTATCTTGGGAAAAGTTGCCTACACTGCCAAGTTATTTTGTTTGCTGTCTGTCTGATGTTCTTTAAAAACCCACACACCATATCCTCCTAAAAGACCTCCATTTCTTTCTCTTCGCCACATTGGAAATTCCTCACTTTAAATTGACTGGCATTCAGAAACTAGCCACGTTAGAATGCTTAGCGCAGCAAATTAGTCTGAAGGAGGTGTCTCACTGGGCCAGGATCAGTGTGGAGACTTAATCTGTAAACTGGTTTCCACAGACATAAATTAAATTTAGAAGGCCTGGAAGACATGTTCACAAATGAGTCACGTAATTTAAATCAGCTCCTTTGCAGTGTTGAGATTTAGGAATGTTTGCGTAGTTTTGTGGGGTTTTTTTTAATTTATTGCTTCCTGCATGGTCACTTGAAAAAAAAACAAAACAAAACAAAACCCCAAAAAAACCCCAACTAAACAGCTACATATCATTGTTCTGCAGACTTCAGAGAGAGGAAAAGAAACTGCTTGGTTCACAATCAACATTCACCACAGGTAATAGGCACTGATTTACTTGCCTCAGACTTCCAGTTCTGAATTATTCACAAAAAGCCACTTGCATTTCAATGGTAAGACAATAGCGCTCCTAAACTCTTAATTAAGGCCACCAATCAAAATGGAAAAATTCATCAGGAACATAAACAGCTTTGCAGGAAACTTTATGGTAAGTGAAAAACATTTATTAACTCACAGAGACATTGTAATTTGGAGCTGACATAAGGCTAAAAGAGTTGCAGTTTGAGATAGCTTTTGTTCATACAGCAGGTGCCACAGTCAAACCATTTTTTCCATTTTGAAGGACTCCAAGAGCTTCCTCAGAGGCCCATCGACACTAAAAGTGTTTGTTCCTAACCAAGGAGAGGCACTTTTTAACACGCCTGCAGTGTATCTGCAAATGAAAGGCTAGCTTCAAGTCAGGGACAGTCTGGTCCAGCCAGGAGTGCTTAACTGGAAGTAGGAGTACCTCAGTCCTCCCCAGGACAGTTCTGTAAGGAACCAAGAAATTTTAACCTAAATATTAGATGTCCATTGCCTGGATCTGGGTCACAACTAAAACCACAAGTCTCTGCTTTCGACATATTTTTGGCTATCTACAATTGTCTTCTGTACATTCCTCCACAACGCATGAAATCCTGCTGTTGCTGATGTCCAAGGAAAGACCTACCACTGCTTTCACCAGGCTAGGATTTTATCCATTTTGTATAGCCAGGAGATCAAAGTGAGTTACACACGTGGTTTATGGATTCCTCTGAGATCAGAAAAAGAAATCTAAGTGACCCTCACACAAAGGATAGGAAATAAATTAAAGGGGAAATGATGATATAATTTCAGTTTGAATCCATCCTAAGACAGCTAGAGAAAGCCATGGGAGAATTTTTTTTTTTCCTATGCCATTATAAATCTTACAAAACCCAGGATTTTTAACTACCACACATTAAGTTTTGCAAATCTAGAAGAACCCTGAAATGAACGTTTCTTGTCCTGTTCCTTCAATCAACCAGAGATATGCAGGCAAAATATCTACCACCCAGTAGTTCTCAGCTATTTTCCACTGACCCATTGACATTCCTCTCTTTGGAATTCCCCATTAAAGCATCAAAAACCTTCTCCGATACAGAAAATGTTCTACCTTTTCTTGAAGCTGACACCTGCAAAGTCGTAGGCTCTTGTGTGTCTGCAACCTCAAAAAAAAGAAAAAGGGAAAAAAAAAAAAGCTTTGCACTCAAACCTGGTAATACTTAATGCAGGGTTCAGTACATTATACAGCTACACCTACCACTTTTTGGTAAGGCAAAACTAATTCTTACCCTTGCTACCCATTATCAACTGGAAGATCTTCTGTATCAATTGCCCCTGAACAAAAAATGAAGCTTCTAGAAGATTGAAGATACCCTTGTGTAACCAAGGCCATACACAGGTCTTTGCACGAATACCCAAACTCCCTTTCTGCCTAAGGCTCAGGAACATTCAGGGGCCAGAAAACAGATTAGATGTTCAAATAATTTATTTTAAGTAACATAATTTTTTAATATATTGCTTGAATAAATACTTCAATCTATATCATACCATCAAAGAATATAAAATATGAAAAATGGGGCTTTCTGGCCAAGCCATGTTATCACTTTAAGATTAATAGTTTTCTTTAATATGATAAATATTTCAGAACATAGAACTTGCGTAATAATCAGCTTTTTAAAGACTGGGGCTTTTTTAATCTACTGAGTGTCAAATAGGGACATTTACAATGAAGTACAAAGTTCCACTAAGTGTTCTTTAGAAAGGAGAGATTAAGTTGGCTTCCAAGGTCTGGTCAGCCATATATACGTTTCTCTATGCAAGAGTTCTTCATCTTGCTACAACTTTCAATAGCAAGGTTGTGGTCATCCGCAAATGAATAACTCTGTGTCAAGCTAACTTATTGAAGTAATTCAAGTTAAAACACAAACATACATAGAGGCTGAAGCTACGCCTTGTTATTTCAGCTACCAACACTGACATCCAACACTTTTTTTTTCTCTTTTCCTTTTCCTTTTTTAATTGCCAAGAATATATTTTGGAAAGTTTATTAATTAAAAGTTAAGGAGGAGATGAGAAATGTTATATTAAATCAACTCTTGTGCCCCACCCAACGTTTCACATCTTTGTCCCTGTACCATGCCAAGGAGCAGTTTAGGCCTCCTATTAAAGTAGTTATCAGGCACTTGGTTACACCCCTTTTTTGATACGGAGTTTCCGTTAAGCAATTACTTCTCGCTTAGATGTTTCTTTCTTTGTCTTTTATTTTCCTAGCTATGGATTAGCAACTTCTAAAGGGACTGCAGGAAGAAAACCATATAAAAATGTGGCTTAGCACAATGTCCTTAATTAGGTTCGGTAAAAAAAAGAGGAAATTAAGGATAAGAGTCACAGCTTGCTACTCTATATTCAATTAGGACTGACTTCTTTGTGGCTGTGGTTCATGAAGGATGCGCAGTTATCCAACACAGCCCAATTCTAGCGGCAGAACAATTAGAATGCAAAGCATAACTGAAAACAGGCTCTGGCAATATTTTTTTCCTTTGTTTGTGACATCTTCAGCACACTTAAAACACCAGTTATCAGATTGTATCCTATGTTGAAATTCCAAACTCATATTCTGAAACCGAATGCAGCTTTTAAAACACTTAACGATGCAAAAATTTAACACGGTATGACTGACGAAAGCAAGCGGAGAAGGGCTCTGATGTCTACACATACACATATGTACAAAATCTAAGAGAAAAAAAATGCTATATTTAAGCACAACATCCTAAAACTGACCTCTGTTCTGTGGTGAGCTCAAAGCAGGCTCTTATATCAACTAATAGGTCAATAAAGCGCTCAAGGTGTGCAATGCTCAAGCACACCAAAAACAATAAGAAATTTTGCACATCTCCCTTCTTTTGCATGACTCGCTTTTAGCGAAGATTATAAGAATCTGGCAGGGTTTTCCTACCTAACAATAATCATCACCCTTTCTCCCCAGTTGGTCTGCACAGCTTCCTGATGAGGTGGCTTTGCTGCAGAGTATAGCGCAAAGTCAAGTCACACGCAGATTAAAATACCTCTCTTCCTACACGTTTCCACCCTGGGGCTATTTTTTCCTCCAGACACACATTTTTAAGCAGCCTCCTGTTTCACTGATGACAGCTCAGGTACTTCAATGGCAGCTTGAACAGCAACGTGAAGGAAACACAATACCCAAACAACCTCCGTCTCGGAAGTCTGTAAATTGCCTCCTGCCAAGAGCTAGGTAAGTATACTGGAAAATATTACCCTGGTTTTGCCTCATTATATTCTTTTCCTGCTATTGGCCATTGTTAAGAGACACAGTGCTGTCCTACACTGATGTTTGTCTGGATCTGGGACATTCTTAAATGTGTGTGCTGTGCTCCCGCACTCTGGTCTACCCGTCCACTGCAAGGGGGAGAGTTCAAATCCCCTCGCCTTTTCCTTTGGTAGAAGGAGTATCCTTTTGTCCCTCCATTCTTAACTGGTAGAGTTTCCAGCAGTTGTATTCTCCCTCACAAATTCTGATTCTGTTATAATTCACTATCTCTCCATGTTATTTTCAAGAAAAAACAACAAAAATATACTTAAAAAAGAACATCAAGTTGGGCTGTTGGATATTATCCAATGATCAGAAAGAAGCATGGAGTCTTTATTCATTTCAAAATCAGCCAGTTAACAAGCTACAGTGACAAGCCAACCGCACACTTTCAGAAATGACATACTTACCCTTTAGTTTGAGGTCCACATTGTGTCGCAGCCAAGGATAAACACCATAGTTTGACATGTCTTCAGGAATAGGGTGATTATATACCCAGCCATCACATGCAAATCGATAAAAGTTCTCACATGGATCTACGGATTGATTTATCTTGCTTAGGATGCCAGCAGCTGTAAAAAAAGACGCCACAGATTTTGTGGAACACTTTTTCCTAAGCAGAGAATTACACAAGGCCACAGTCCAGAAAGGACGATTAACATTTACCAGTCTCTGCAACGTGACGCCGACCTCACTTGCAAGCTAAGCCTTGCTGTTCTAGGGCTGATGTGTGCCCTGATCTCTGCCATTTGTAAAGAGCAGCAAGACTACCACCCAGCTTCTCTAGCATCTAACAGTGCCTACATGAGAAGCAAAATAAAGACAAAATATCTGCAATGAATGTTCTTGAGTGCCACACAGCAATGACCACTGAATCTAGCACTACAGGAACATGAACTGCTGGAGCCAAACACCTGAAGACAGGCTCTCCATTGTTGCCATGACAGAATTAATTGCCTGAGGAATTTAGTAGCAGTACATATCAAGCAGATTGTAATTAGCATTCCAGAAATTACGCACTGTTTACCTTTAGCTGAATAGCTGCACAAGAAAACAAATCAAGTTCTGATCTACTATTCATTGGAAAAGATAATTGTAGTATTTTCAGCTCCATTTTGTGACTGCATCCTTGCCCGTTGCTATTGCAGGTGAGACTGGTAAGAGAGAGAGACCAGTCTGACAAGCCAGAGACTCAATAGCTTTTGAGTATCTAATCATAGAATCACAGAATGGTTTGGGTTGGAAGGGACCTTTAAAGGTCATCTAGTCCACCCCCCCTGCCATAGGCAGGGACATCTGCAACTAGATCAGGTTGCTCAGAGCCCCGTCCAACCTGACCTTGAATGGTTCCAGGGATGGGGCATCTACCACCTCTCTGGGCAACCTGTGCCAGTGTTTCACCACTCTCATCGTAAAAAAATTTCTTCCTTATATCTAGTCTGAATCTACCCTCTTTTAGTTTGAAACCATTACTCCCTTTCATGCATTATAATGATTGTGGCATAAATCTACATGGGTTGAGTAACATGGAATATGTGGATACTGGATATTTTTTGGCTAAATGACCATGTGTTTTGAGGCTTATCCAAATAACTGATTAAAAATCCTAGCAGGAAATCTGATAACTTTTACAGACTTTATGGTACTATTTCTAGAATCCAGTAACTCTTCTTCCTCCGCTTAGAGTAACTCTTTCCATGATATTTCTATGTCTTAGCTGTAATTCTCTCTCACACATTAGAAACTCTCAGACTGACTACATTGAAGACATTTTGGTCCTTGGCAATTTTCTATCACTCTTGAAAAGCTGTTCAGCAAGGCAGGGCTCAGATCTTGAGACACTATACAGTCACTACTCAGAGCATTCTGAGCTAAAACAGTCAGGTCATGTAGGTGTCCGAGTCTGCCTTGGTGCAAAATCCCAGCTTCCGCTACCAAAAAATCCGTGTTATTTCCTGTGCATATGAGAAGAAGAAAGCCAATTCAGATTCAAACTTCTTAAGTGACTTTCTTTTTGTTCTGAAGCTCAAGATGAAGCCCCCACACTTTTTTTTTTGTTGGGGTTTTTGGGGTGGTGGTGTTTTGATTAGTCATCCCACCTTACTTAGATATTTGCACTCATTCAAGAATCAGCTCCAGAGAGTGGTGCCTGGGGCTGCCAAGAGCACTGTCAGTGCAGAGCAGAAGCAGAATGGCAAGAAACATCCTGGTAACATTGAGATCTGCAAATTTTCCAATTTATGGAGCCCCACAGAATTTGTCAGGATTTCAAACACAGGCCAAGCACCTCACAGTATCAGCTTACTATGGTTCAGAATGGAAACAAATGCTCTTATAAGTTCACACAACATCCATTTTGTTTCCAATGAAACAGCTTTAGGGGCAGATTTCCAGATGTGGTAACTATTGTTTGATCTTTGCTCTCATTACATTAAATGATAAAACTCTCATTGATTGAGCAAAAGTCTGTCAAAACTGACCAGTGCAAAATGGGTGTCTCTCAGGTCCTACCAAGCCCGGTCCCTTTAGCTCGCATTTAATACTAATAGATGCCCCAGCTCTATAAGGGTTACCACATGTATCTCTGCGTGGGGAAAAGAGCCTGCCAATATGGAAGTAGTTGCAGATTTTGAGTCGTAGTTACCACGTTACAATTGTGCAAGTCTGTGCAAGATCTGGCCCTAAAGCATCTCTGTGCTTAACCATGCACTTGCTAGTTTTCTGACTGCTGGGAAGGAAACAACAAAACACACCTGAAGGTCAAGTCACCCAAGTTTTGTTTCCTATAAAAAAAAACCCTATGGGAAACTTTGAGTTAACCTGGCTAGAATAGAGTTAAAACAATTTAAAACATGAATTTTAATTGTAGAAAATAAACCGATCCACAGCAACTTAAGCAGTGACTTTTTTAAAAGTTGGTTTTTTGGTTTTGTTTTGGTTTGTTTTTGTTTTCCTCCCCCTCATTATTCATGAAGCTTTCTGAGTAAAATGTATCATGGAAAAAATTGAAGCAGTATAACTATCTCATTATCATACTATAATCATGATATAATAGAGAGGATAAAATTGTTGCTTACCAGCTTCAATGCATTCTGAGGTCAAACAGTACTGTTGCTTCAGATGAAACTTTATAAGACCTTGGCTAACTGCAAAATGGAAAACCATAATGAGATCATTTGTAATGAATTTTGACCATTGCAGCCAAATGTCGTGTGCTCGATCATTCAAATGTCAGTGCAAGCTCTGGCCCTAATGCATCTCTGACTACATTGATTTAAAACAGTTAGAATGTATATTAAGTAAATACTGCAGCTTGTAACAAATAGTTTTCCCCTCCCGTGCCTGCTTTCTCCTTCCTCTGTCTTTGCTCGTAGGCAGCATGGCGCGAGGGCTGTCTCTCAGTGTACGTTTGCGCAGCGCCTGGAGTAACAACACTTCAGCCTCGCTCGCTGACAGCGAGCACCACCACGATACAAACAACTGATCATTGCTGCTGTCATCCTCCAGAGATGCACGTTTCACGGCTGGCAACGCAACGTGGAACTCTCCAGCCACCTTCTGCTGGGTTTCCGCAGCTCCTCCCGAGCTGCGGGGCTCGTGCCGCCCTGCTGCACCCCCTCCTGCAGCAGCACTGTGCTGCCCGGCCCCCCTGGCACGACCCAGCGCCCACGGGATGCTTTCAGGGCCCCTTTATTCCAGCCTGGAATAAGCCAGATAGCAATGGGGCACAGGGATAGCTGTGGTTTATACGGCACAGCCCTGTTTGAACCGGTTCCCAAAAGTATTGTAATTGTATTTGCTTCCAAAAACTTTGCTGACAAGAACTATGAAATTGTCAGTTAATTTTGCTCATCTTTTAAAAATGTGTTTTACAGCTGCCACTGAAACTTGAGCATAGGAATTGCTAATTTCAGACACTGCTGTCAGGCAGCAAATATGCAGATAATTGATGCTTGGGATGAGGATGGGAGAGTCCCAAGGGGTAGATGAAATACGACTCAGTAGATGTGCTCTGCAGACATAAAGAAATGTCTCATTATATCCATTATCTTAGTAGCTCAGTCCATGGCAAAAATAAAATAAAAAAAAAAAAACAAAACCAAAAACCAGCCAAAAAACCCAACAATGGAATATATTAAGGTATCGTAGCTTTACCAGTGCTGACAGTTATAAAGCAATTTCTCCTGTAGTTATATAGCATTCGAAAGGGATAGGAAAATGTGAAATTGTATTTCAGCACAGGAAAATTTTACTATAAAACCCCTAAAGCTAGAATTGAATGTAAAGCTGTTTCATCTCTTCCAACCTCATAGCTTTAATGACAATTAATGACAGACATTTCAATCAAATTTTCTTAGAAACTGAGAATGTAAAACTATTTCTGGACAACTTTACCAAAGCTTGCACTGACTCAATGAAACGCAATACCTCAACAACCTTTGTAAGTCAACCAAGAAATACATGAGATTTTGAGGCATATAGAGATGGTAATTGGAATATTGAAGAACAGTAGAAACTAGAGAAGTGGGGGTCTCCAGATTATGATTTTGAGCCACATGAAATGCAAATAATGGGTGATGTGCCTATTAATTGTTGCACTCCTCCCAACTCACCTTTTCCCCGCTTTAAAGTTAGCCTTTCAGAACCCATCCAGGTCTTGAAAGTTTGCTAGATTTTTTTTCTTAACAAAGCAGAGAAAGGAGGGAAAATCCCAGACACCATTTAATTCTTTTGCACTTGTCGGAAAATGAGGGAGAACGAAAAAGAATCAGTAAAGAATCTGAAGTAGCCCTCGTGGTTTTGATAGTTATAAACAAAAGCAAAATACCATTTCAACTGGTTTTGTTCCATTTACAACTTCATCATTGGCAAATTCATCATAGGGCAAATTTAAAAAAAAAAAAGTCTTTGGCAATAACATTTCCCTTTCAATTAACAGCTAATTTTGATTGAAAAACTTTGCCAAGTTTTGTTCTCATGCCTTTTTGGTTGTTGTTAAAAGAACTAACCATTACATTATTACCTACAGTTGTGGTTACAACACTCAGTGTCCCAGCTTCTTCCTTTGTAAGCCTGTTTCCAGATTCTTAAGCAAATATATGCCATAATTAAGTTCCCCCAAAAAATCTGGAAGGGGAAAAGGCATACAAATATGCAGACGCAAGTGGCTGTTCCTATAATCTGAGAAGTCCAAAGGGCTACCAAGTCAGGAGGAGAGGCTACCAAACTGAGGTTCAAAGCTGCCTGACTTCTTGCCCAAAGGAACTGGAGAGCGTTCATCTTCCTTTTGCTCTGGCCCCAGCTCCCAAGGAGGAGGTGGCTCCTGTCCTACCACAGCCCACACCACCATCCGGAGAGCTGCAGGCAGGACCCCGCCTGATGCCAAGTGACTCCCCTGGTAGCTCCCCGCTGAAGTCACGGTATGGCTACAGGCAGTACAAGCAAGTAACAGTAAATAAAAACATGTGATTCTCCCAGATTCCTCTTAAGAGTTGAAGGAACTCCAAGAAGAAGAAACAAGAGAAGCAGGAGAAGGCTACGTTTCACTCCTCAGGCTGGAAAATTGAAGGAAAATTGTTTCAGGTCTACCAGAAACAGCGAGTTTTGCAGATTAAATGAAAACTGAAGAAAAAAGGTCACCTTGAGGTGCCTGAAATGTTTCACGTGACCAGAAATAATGGTCTCCTTTTCTACAGTTTAACAAAACTAGAAAAGAGTTAAACTCAAACTTACAAACAAAACACAGTGTCACAATGAAACATGGAAACATTGCATTGACAAAATGTTAAACCAAAACAATTTAACTTTTTTCCTTTATTCTTTCGGTTGAAAACCTCAGACAATTTCCAAACAAATCCTAAAAACATTTTGTTGACCCAAGGCCAGCATTTTTATTTTCTTAGCAGTTATGCCAATGAAAATTTTGACACTGAATCCCTGGCTACAGGATAGGCCTCAGCACACTTAGAAAACTATTTCCAAGAATTAATACATTTGCTTGAATTTGCACATCTGGTCTATAGATAAAGCACTTCTATCTCTGACAAACTACGGTGGTAAACGTCTATTGCTTTTTACAAGCAATAAACAATCAATCCAGTGCTAAAAAAAAGAAATAACGTCTCTCTATAACTCCCTGGTGTTTGATATTGATTTATCTAAGTGAAAAACATTATTCTTCATCTAGAAACTATATTTTGCACTAACAACTTGAAGATTCAATCCTGCTCACGTTTATAAAGAGTTTTGTTGAATTGAGTGGGATTGCTCACATACACAAAAGTTACTTGCCTGCAAATGTTTGTAGAATTTGCTCTAGAGCAGAAAAACACTAACCGAGTGCGAACCTTTAAATATTCTGTAGAAAACCTGGCATAATTTTCTCTGTTGTGATTATAAACAAAGCAGACCTTGCAAACAAGACCACAAGATCATAAAGGATCGGAGGGAAGCAAAAAATATGCTTAGAGGCTAAGTTCCCTCCAGTCCAGGGAAATCTGTGTTGGTCTAAAGAATTGAAAAGTTGGGCTGAATTATTCCAAAAGAGGATCTGCATGTTCTTATAAGATAAAACACTGCTTTCTCTTCTCTGCTTGGTCACAATCTGTGAGTTCGTAATCACCATTACTGATATGCATAATCTCACCCGTTTCTCCTCGTTCTGCAAAAGAACCCAATTCTGGCTAGAACACATTCAACTGAGTATCCAAATTTAAATTCAGCATTCAAAAAGTTACATGAGCTCGCATTGCATCTTCTAGCTCTAGTGTTCCCACAACAAAACCCTTTCCTGACACATTTCCATTTCAGGAGAAATATAAAATGGGGGGAAAAGAAGGAGAGACCAAGATTTTCACCAAAACATGTCGTGGAGCACAGACACTGGCACCAAGCGGACAGGCTGGGGAGAGTTGCGTTCAGGTTAGCCTCGACCTTTCCACTTACCCAAGAACAGCACGGTGCCGAGCACAACGGTGCCACTCACAAAGACGCCGAGGGTGATCCGCGTGGCTTTGCTGGCTGCTCTCCTGGCCTCGGGTACCGTCTCTCCTTCCATGGGGACAGCTTGGGACGTGCTCGCTCTTGCAGAAGTCTGGTTTTCCTCTGCTGCTGTGGTATCAGTCTTTCAACTGTTCACAAACTGCGCCCATGAGCTCGCCTCCTCCTCCTCTCTCCTATTTACAGCTCCAGGTTTCTGCCGTGACCCATTTCCTAGGCACTTCCTGCTCTCCCCCTCTCAAAGGAAAATCGTACGTAAAATAGTAGCTGTCTCCTACGTTTTCCTCTGGCCAGGAGGAGGAAAGGCAAGCGGTGACCCCCGAATGCACAGCCCTTGCTGCCTGTGGAGCCTCTATGAGCCAATCGCTCAGCAGTCCCCCTTATCAGGGGTGCCGAACACGAGGATTTCACAACGTTGCTGAACAGATGTTTTAGCTATTCAAACATATAGCTGTAAAACCCTTTACTATCAAAGCAGGATTGCTGACAACTTTTACAAACACGAGACTAGTGGAAGGTTTCCTTTTTTCCCCTTGTGCTTATTTAAAAAGACTAATTATCTGCTGACTAAAGTTTCCTCCTCTTAAACCATTCCT